ATATATATATATATATATATATATATATATATATATATATATATATAGAGAGAGAGAGAGAGAGAGAGAGATATAGATAGATTAATGGATGGATGGATGGAAATAGATAGATAGATAGATAGATAGATAAATAGATAGATAGATAGATAGATAGATTTTAAGGACCAGCCACCAACACCACTATAACTAAGCACTAACACCACCGTGCCCCGCCGCTGTCTTCCTTCCGCAGACAGACAACATGAAGCTGACACTGCTCACATTTGCCGTCGTCATCGTCGCCACCGTCCGCGCCGACGGCTACGGATCGACGCAGGCGCCGGGTTACTTCACGACGCAGGTGTACGGTCCCGTGAGCAGCGGCGGCCTGCGCGGGTTGGGAGAGCGCAAGGCGTCGCTCAGCTATGACAGGTCGGGAACGGCGATCGGAACAGCCTACAACCAGGACCAGGCGACGGCAGACCAGACGGCAGCGAAGAGCCGCGAGTACGACTACAACTACAGGTAAATACAATTGCTGGCGACGCATTACAACTACAGGTAAATACAATTACCGGTGACGTATTACAACTAGAGGTAAATACAAAAACAGATAACGTATTACAGCTACAGGTAAATACAATTACAGGTAAGTAACAAGTAACGAAATATATAATTACAGGTAACGACGTGCAATTACAGGTACACACACAACACGCACACATACGTACGTACGCACGCACGCACACGTAAAAAGGCGCGCGCACACACGACACACGTACAAGGACGCGCGCACAAACGACACACGCGCACACACGCGCACGCACGCACGCACGTACACACACACGTGCGTTTGTTTTAACTCGTCTGCTATCGTTGCTTTACAGGTCCGGTTACAACTACGAGCAACCCAAGACCCTCTACAACTACGACATTAACGAGCAAATCTGGGGACTCAGTGACAACTCTGACGTCTACACTGGAGAGGGCGCTACCAGTCGTGGTCTCGGCCGCGTCGGTGGTTTCTCCAGCGGTGGTCTAAGCAGCGGGGGTCTAAGCAGCGGTGGTCTAAGCAGCGGTGGTCTAAGCAGCGGTGGTCTAAGCAGCGGTGCCGCCTTCGCTGGATTCGGCAATGGCGGTCACTTTACCGGACTCGGGAGCGGCGCCAGCGTCGGTAGAGGCTACGCGCATGCGCAGCAGCAACAGCAGCCACAACAACGGCAGCAGCAGCGATGCATCTGTTACTAAGCCGGCCACCACCCCATATGAATACAACGGGAGACGTTAGAACAACGAAATCCGAAAAAATTTTCATTTTGAGAAATCGCGGATATGGACACGTTCTGAGCGCGTTAGTAGTAGCATGAAGATAGCTGTACGCATTTGTTCCAGTATACATATGTTCAATGATATGTTCATGGTAGCATAGACATTGCATGTGATGCGATGTGCGGATGATACGTAGATGTAGGAATTAGAGATGTGTGTATTTTATGATGGCCTTGATAATGACACAGTTGCTGATTATACACCGTATGTTTGTTTGTGAAACGTAATTATTGTGTGAGACAGTGTAAAGCATACTTGTATACAAATTAAAAATACAATCACACGATTATCTATATATATATATATAGAGATTTTTTTCTTTTTTTGATCGATTCATGAGTTTATTTTGATAAATCACGATGTGCTTTATGCATCTATATAAAATGTTATCCAATTCATCAATCATCGCCCGCGTGTCGTCTGGCCAGTGACAAGTAGTACATGCCAAAAGCCTCTCCATATATAATGCGTCTATCGAACCCGGAATCGTTACATAAAAGATTCACGTGCGAAGTGAAGGTCGCACGTACATAATATATTGAACCTCGCTCTCTTCTCAACAACTAGCATATCACGACAGCCGCCTGGAAGGCCATTGAAACATCAATGGACCATAGATGAACCTCGCTCTCTTCTCAACAACTAGCATATCACGACAGCCGCCTGGAAGGCCATTGAAACATCAATGGATCATAGATGAACCTCGCTCTCTTCTCAACAACTAGCATATCACGACAGCCGCCTGGAAGGCCATTGAAACATCAATGCATCATAGATGAACCTCGCTCTCTTCTCAACAACTAGCATATCACGACAGCCGCCTGGAAGGCCATTGAAACATCAATGGATCATAGATGCTCACGTAACTTCTCAGAACTATGTCCCGTCCCGCCAGTAAGCGTGAAAGCTAGGGGGCGCTGGCATTGCATATTGAGAGTTCTTCTCCCGCTACACATCACGATTCTCTGCATGCACGCACGCAGGCACGCACGCACGCACGCACGCACGCAGGCAGCACGATATGCCGACGTGTCGCACGAGGTTGCTCACGCAACGCTGGTCCGTCGTTTGTGTCTTCGTCATCGTCTCGTCGTTCGTGTATGGCGCCGTGTTCGGTGAGTAACACCGGAATCAGGTGACCGTACACAGCCACTGCACATGCTTTCGTTTCTTACTTCAGAGCGCATCTTTGTCTATACACGGCAGAACGCTGGCAAAGCTAATTCACGAGCGGCACCCGCGTCGGTTGGCGGTCCTGTAAATATTTTACATTTACCTTTATTCTACACTAACAGGACACTCTTGTACTCCCAATCATGCTAAGCTGACTGGCTACGCGAAAAACGACCTGGGACAGAAATGCTAACTCAACAACTTCCGATTCATGACTCACCAAACTCATGATGAAGAATCAGAATGTTCCTTCCATTCCAACAATCTACAATGTAAAATCGTCGACCGGAGACTATGTCGAGCAGCATAGCCTATATATACGAACGCATATCGCCGACAGCCGTATACGTGAAAAATATGGCGCTCTGCAATTCGCAAATACGCAGGCTGTTGTCGAATTTTACTATATTTTGCTATTGTCGGATAGCCCGTCCATGGTTTGAATGCATAAATTCGCCTCATGCTCGATATTTTCGGCGCCAACGGGCATGCAGAAATCCGATCAGTTTCCTTGTAAAACTGAGAAATTATTCGAAATGCATATAATTGTGTAACGTTTCTCGCGTTGTCTGTCAGAATATTGGCCGTAATCCTGGTCACACGCCAGTGTAACATTTCTCCGCGTGGTGCGTGATTGACTTTCGTCACGGCTCACCAGTGTGACGTCTCTTCTGTTTTTGTGATCGTATCGTACCTTGTTGCGTTGTTTCTTAACAGACCGGCGGCTGTCGTCTGCGACCGTTGCCGGCGTTTCGTCAGGCTTGCGGAGTGCGTGAGTGTGTGTGAGTGCAGCTCGACAGGGATACCACACGTAGCCGGGAAATACTTTTAGTGGCGTATAGAAAGCCGTTTATTTATCAACGGTAACACATCCGCATTGCGGAATTTACAACGCGGTTATTTTGCACGTTGCCACTAGCCAATGGCTGCATCTCGCGCCAAAATAACGCACTCCGCGTCATCTAATCCTTATTTCCCGCCTCATGACGCGTACTTTCATAAAACACAATCACGTATTCACTGAACCTTCGAAAAAACAATTGCGAACTTACTAAATTAATAAACAATGCCCTCGCGCTTGTCCCACACGCCCCCAGGTGCCGGCGTCTACCGGCCGGTGGTAACCACTCTCACCGGCCTGACACGAAACTGACACTATATATCGATCGCTCCACCGGCCGGCTCTCAGTATTATGCAGTTGTCTTCAGTCCATATTGCACGCCTGAAACGGTGCTCGCGCATGCGCAATATCTCTCGAGAAAATTAATATTTTACGAAAATTATGCATTTAAGATAAAGAGGAGGTATTCTAGCATAGATTTCTATGATAAAATTCCATCGATACATCTCACTTACGAAACAGGACGATGATCCTGCATGTAAGGTCCCCGCTGCATATCCCAGCCAGTACATAATCTGCCAACGTTAGTGTGTTAGCGCATGCGCAATATCTCATTAGAATTAAAAGTTATATTTTGTGATGATTATGAATTCAATATGGTTAGGGGTTATCTCAGCATAGATTTCTGTAATTAATTGTTATTAGTAGACCTGTGTTTATAATTAGGAGAACGCTCTAGCCTGTAGGGTGCTAAATCCCTACTTCATCCGCTCACGCCCATCCCCTAGCCTCCATTGTCTTTCGTTCAGCCTCCTTCTTTTTCTCCCGCCCCAGCTATCTTTGCTGCTGCCTTTCCCCAGTCATATCACTCACTCCCTCTCTCAGCAAGCTATATTATGCAGTTGTATTCAGTCCGTACTGCACGCCTGAAACGGTGCTCGCGCATGCGCAATATCTCCCGAGAATACTAATCTTTTGCGAAAATTATGCATATAAAATAGAGCGGAGATATTCTAGCATAGATTTCTATGATAAAATTTCATCAGTAGATTTTACTTAAGAAACAGGACGATAATCCTGCATGTAAGGTCCCCGCTGCATATCCCAGCCAGTACATAATCTGGCAACGTTAGTGTGTTAGCGCATGCGCAATATCTCACTAGAAGAGTTATATTTTGTGATGATTATAAATTTAATATGGTTAGGAATTATCTCAGCATAGATTTCTGTAATTAATTGTTATCAGTAGACCTGTGTTTATAATTAGGAGAGCGCCCTAGTCTAGCTGTAAGGTGCAAAATAGCTACTTCATCCGCTCCCGCCTACCCCCTTGCCTCCATTGTCTTTCGCTCAGCCTCCTTCTTTTTCTCCCGCCCCAGCTATCTTTCCTGCTGCCTTTCCCCAGTCTCCCGACACTCACTCCTTCTCTCAGCAAGCTATATTATGCAGTTGTCTTCAGTCCGTATTGCACGCATGAAACGGTGCTTGCGCATGCGCAATATCTCTCGAGAATTTAAAATAGAGAGGAGGTATTCTAGCATAGATTTCTATGATAAAATTCCATTGATACATCTCACGTAAGAAACAGGATGATGATCCTGCATGGTTAGGGTGATGGAGTTAGGGGTAGGGTTTCAGGTTAGGGTGATGGAGTTAGGGGTAGGGTTTCAGGTTAGGGTGATGGAGTTAGGGGTAGGGTTTCAGGTTAGGGTGATGGAGCTAGGGGTAGGGTTTCAGGTTAGGGTGATGGAGCTAGGGGTAGGGTTTCAGGTTAGGGTGATGGAGCTAGGGGTAGGGTTTCAGGTTAGGGTGATGGAGTTAGGTGTAGGGTTTCAGGTTAGGATGAGAGCTAGGGGTAGGGTTTCAGGGTTAGGGGATGATGGAGCTAGGGTAGGGTTTCAGTTAGGGTGATGGGTAGGGGTAGGGTTATCAGAGTTAGAGGTGATGGAGCTTAGGGGTAGGGTTTTAGGTTAGGGGTGATGGAGCTAGGGGTAGGGTTTCAGGTTAGGGTGATGGAGCTAGGGGTAGGTTTCAGGTTTAGCGTGATGGAGCTAGGGTAGGGTCCCTTGTGATGGAGTTAGGGGTAGGGTTTCAAGTTAGGGTGATGGAGTTAGGGGTAGGGTTTCAGGTTAGGGTGATGGAGCTAGGGGTAGGGTTTCAGGTTAGGGTGATGGAGCTAGGGGTAGGGTTTCAGGTTAGTGTGATGGAGCTAGGGGTAGGGTTTCAGGTTAGGGTGATGTAGTTAGGGGTAGGGTTGGTTTTCCAGCGTTAGGGTGATGGAGCGTTAGGGGTAGGTTTTCAGGTTGGTGATGGAAGCCTAGGGTAGGGTTTTCAGGTCTAGTGATGGAGGTTAGGGGTAGGGTTTCAGGTCTAGAGTGATGGAGTTAGGGGTAGGGTTTTCAGTTAGGGTGATGGAGCTTAGGGGTAGGTTTCGGTTAGGGTGATGGAGCATAGGGGTCAGGGTTTCAGGTTAGTGTGATGGAGCTAAGGTAGGGTTTCAAGGTTAGGGCTGGAATGTATGTTTAGGGTAAGGGTTTCAGGTTAGGGTTATGGAGTAGGGTAGGGTTGTCAAGTTTAGTGTGATGGAGTTAGGGGGTAGGTTTCAGGTTAGCGTGCATGGAGGTAGGGGTAGGCGTTTCAGGTTAGGTGATGGAGCTAGGGTACGGTTTCAGGTTAGGGTGATGGAGGTAAGGGTAGGGTTTCAGGTTATGGGAGATGGAGCTACGGGGTAGGGTTTTCAGGTTAGGGTGATGGAGGGCTAGGGGTAAGGGTTCAGGTAGGTGATGAGCTAGGGTAAGGGTGTTCAAGGTTAGGTGATGTGAGGCTAGGGTAGGGTTGCAGCGTTAGGGTGATGGAGCTAGGGGGAGGGTTTCAGGTTAGGGTGATGGAGTTAGGGGTGGGGTTTCAGGTTAGGGTGATGGAGCTAGGGGTAGAGTTTCAGGTTAGGGCTGAATGGAGCTAGGGTAGGGTTTTCAGGTTAAGAGTGATGGACTAGGGGTAGGGTTTCAGGTTAGGGTGATGGAGCTAACGGGGAGGTTTCAGGTTATTGAGTGAGAGACTAAGGTTAAGGGTTTTTTCAGGTAGGTGATGGGCTAGGGGTAGGTTTCATGGTTAGGTGACGGAGCTAGGGTCGGGTTCAGGTTAGGGTGATGGAGCTAGGTGTAGAGTTTCAAGGTTAGGGTGATGGAGCTAGGGTAGGTTTCAGGTTAGGGTGATGGAGACTTAGGGGAGGGTTTCAGGTTAGTCGTGATGGAGTTAGGGGTATGTGCATAGTGTGTGATGGAGCTG